CAAGGTAAAATAAGAAATTTTCTAAAAAATGCCGCTGGGGTTTGCGTTTTATTGCCTTGTTTTAATGCTATGGGCATTCGAACAGCGACGTATAAAAAGCGCGAAAGTTCGAACGCCGAAATAATGCTGTTCAAGTAGTAACCAATAACGCATTCTGATTGGCTTAGAGCGAAAATGTCAATAATGCATTGACTAGTCGAGAACGAAATTCCTCCTTGTTCTTCAATAGGCTATATGGAGCATGGTATAACCATGGCCAGTAATAACGGACATAATTATTAATTTGAATATCACCGATGCATAACCCGTTGAAATATGGCTTATGCAGCAAACAGTGAATTATATTATAAAGTAACATGTATATAACACGTGCCCTGATTGTTCGAAACCCGTGTTTGGATCAGGCCATCCAAACACGGAAAATTAAAGTGAAAGGTTTTTGAAGTGAAATTTTAATACGGAAAGTTGTTATTTTATTACTTTATGGTTTCCGTGTTTGGATGGCCTGATCCAAACACGCGGGAATGTTGCTCGAGTTAAGAAACACTACATTCTCGCAACATTCCCGCGTGTTTGGATCAGGCCATCCAAAACGGAAACCATAAAGTAATTTTATATTACGGGATGCTGTAAATCGCAAAATCAGAAAATATGGATCACGGTAGGCGTTTGCAAATTGCCTCAATTGCTGGTTACAGAACAAAGTCTGTAGAAATATTTAATGTAATGTTTGCTTGCATGGTTTAAGTTATACTGCTTGTTCTGCATTTTCGTTTGTTCTTACTGGCAGTACAGTGCTGTAGAACTAAATTTACCAGAGGGGGAGCTCTCTTGACGAGCGTGAAGCCGTGAAATCGTAAGAAAATGCGTCACGTCATACGATGACGTCATAGATGTTCGAAAATACAGAGCACAAATGCATAATTTATGAAACATTGAAACAAGATAAGGTATTGATTTATTAAGGACGTCATTTTAATAATTTTGATTCAACTAAATGAAAAAGAAGTCAAAGGGGGCTCAGTCCCCCCCCCCCAGAGGTTGAAGAATGGGGGCGGAAGCGACCCTCGCTGGCAGTATAGTGCGGTATTCTTATATAGAGTTAAATAGTTAAAACTAACCTCTGTACAAATATTGAAAATGCAGAGTAGGGAGTACCTGAAATCAGGCCAACATTACACTAAATACTTCGACAGACTTTGTTCTGCAGCCAGCGATTGAGTCAAGTTGCAAACGACCTACTTTATTCTCAAATGTTGCGATCAACAACGTCGCTTTGTATGTATTATTACATTTCGCTGTTTATACAGTTGAAGCCATATTTTAACCTGATATGCAAATTACGACGGAGGAAGAATAAATGAATGTCCGTGATTTCTGGCGACGACATGCTCAAAATTAGGGACTGGTCATAATTTATCAGGGGGGTGGGGAGGTGTAATTCAAAATTTTAAGGAATGATATTTTGTGACCCTGCTTTGCCATAGCCCGGAAAAATAATGCAGCCCCCCGCCCTCTCTCTTGCACGTGTCAGTAAAAATGTACCTACCTACTACTAAACCCTGCATTCAATAAATTTTCTAATTGCACTTTAAATTTTCTAATTTTCTAGTTGCCCTTTAAATCAAATATTAAAATTTATATTATACCATTTACATAGTGTTATATAAAACTTTTTAGTCAAACTTTTCATTCTAAGTTTAAACAGAATCAATATTTTATGAACCTCACTTTTTCCTGGCTAGAAAATATGTGACCCCCCCCCCACACTGTTTCCACCTAGCTCCCCACCCCTCCTGCTAAATTATGACCAGTCCCTTAATGAATATACTTCTCCACTTGGTTATGACTACATATTCAATTAAAAAATATATATACATTTCTCAAGCAGCAAACAAACTTAAAAAGTATGTTTAGTACTTTATCTGTAAAATAATGCTAAGACGAAGAAATTTGAGATGGGGCCCCGAAGATGGTACGCCAAACAGAAAATGATGTCTGAAGTTCAGTAACTTTTGCGTTTATATTGCTGTATATTTATATGGGCGTCAGTTTACAACATCAATGATAATTGTATTTAAATTGACAATATTTAACTATTATTTTGCGTTTCTCAACCGCCAGATGCATTTCAAAACAGGTCGCTAATGCGTAAACTACAAAATAAAGCTAAAACAAAGTATAATTTTTCGAGGAACGCCAAAAATATTATTCTCATCGCAAATGCGCGAAATTGGAAAAAATTGCCTCTTAAAAATATCAAATCCAGCGAGAAAAGGGTTGTCAACCTTGCTATAGTAGTATTGCCTGACATGCGGAACTCGGTATATCATAATATAGTATGCTGAAAATTATATAATGCAACACTCAACAGGAATAATTTTAATAATTAAAATATGCTACAGTAATAAACAACACGGGCGGAAATTAAAAACACGTTTATTCCCGATTCATCTGGATTGCTGCACGCAGCCGAAGTCTACAATAAAAAACTCGTTATTGAATATTGTCATTGCCTTGATGACAAGGGTTCGATTTTTCTAGCGAAAGCCAAAATACACCCACAAGCCACGCCGATCATGAATATAAAACAATTTTTTTAAAGACATATTAATAGTATATATAATTTATACACAATTAGTCACAATAAGTCATGAACAAATTAAATATCGATGTATATAAGTAACTAAATAACGTTTTCGTATTATGAACGCGATTTAAAACTAGATTTTCAATTTTCCAAAAATGATGGACTATATAATCTATATACCGCGCGTGATAAAGTCGAATCGTTAATAACACTGTGCATATTTTTTCTTGCAAAATCAAAATAAACGAAAGTTTTACTTTGCTGTATACACTAGTATATTCAGTGTCAAAATTGATTACACGAAACGTCTACATACGCTGTTTTTGAAAATTACTTTTTTAGAAGCGCGCATATGTTACAAACGCTATTGCATGTTATTGTTTGGAAATTTTCCTCCAATGACAAGAGCGGTTTTAAATGAATAGTACAATGTAGAAGAATAAAAATTATAAACATCAGTGGGAGTGCGAAATTATCAAAGTTCACCTGTTCAAAAATAATTAAATGCTTCTGCGTTGGCTCCAAAATCAGATTCTGCATGCATATAAAGATACAATTTGATGCATATATTCCTATTATATTTTGTAGTTTTGGCTGCTGCTATTCCAAGCCACGTACAGGCTAACGACTTTAACTGAACGGAAGCTCCATGGAATGAGTGTATTTATACGCGAATGTTTACACGGGGAAATTTATATTTGGTTAAAATTTTAAAAACAGCAAGAAGTGAAGTTTGCTTTGTTTTGGGAGACAGTCGATAACAGGTAACTATATATACATACATTATTTTTGAATAAGAATTGCATTTGGAAGAATGAGATCGAAATTGGGAAAACATGCTAACACCCACTCTGCTCTCCAACCTTCACTGCTTGTACAGTTATTAAAGACGCGGCTATATGCAAGGACAAATCACGCAATGTTTTGCCGAAAGGGTATAAAATGGTTGATCGGATTTGTCTAATTTTTTTACAAGGAAATGAGATCTATATTGGACAACAGGGATTTTGTAAAAGCAATTTTGTTGCTGGGAATATGGAAATTAGAAATCAGTGCCTGCGGGTCGGTGGGATGGGAACAAAATCTAATTTTGGCTGCTGGTAAAAAGAGATTGAAACTCCTCTTCGCGATCCTCTTTGCTTAGTCCCCTGTAGACAACGAGTATAGTAAAATATATGGCGTGACTCACGACAATGTATAGCTACTCTTAATTGTAATCCTTTTCGCATTCGCAAATCTAAGCCGCGGTTACAGACGAGGTCGCACGCGTTTCCTATATGCCAAGTTTTGGCATGGTACTATTGCTGCTCGGTCTGGGATACTCTGGGAGTACAAAAACACAGAAATCACAGAACCAATGGTCTTTTGGATAGCTTAATTGCAGTTGGATAAACCCTCTTTACGACATGAAAACTTCAAGGCTAGTTTGATGTTTAAGATACTGAAATGGTATATGCCCTCTTACTTACAAGATCTTTTCTCTGTTCGTGACACGTGGTATAATTGCAGAAATTCTGAGGTCAACGTTAACGGAGCCTCTATTCTTTTTTTTTGGGGGGGGGGTGATTATTGTGGAATTTTATAGTTTATCCTAGGATATATACGTAAACTTTCATCACTACCGCAATTTAAGAAAGCTATAAACGATTGTTATAATAATTTCTAATACTGACTCCCACACGGTAATCTTGTAAACCAGTTAGGTTTTATTTTATTTAAAATTTATGTACAGAAGATTTTACCGTGGTTAAATAAAATTGTACTGTATTGCACTGCGCCGTAGTGTACTGTATTGTACTCTGCTGTATTGTACTGCGCTGTATTGTACTCCGCTGTATTGTACTGCGCTGTATTGTACTGCGCCGTACTGTACTGTATTGTACTCAGCTGTATTGTACTGCGCTGTATTGTACTCCGCTGTATTGTACTCCGCTGTATTGTACTGTACTGTATTGTACTCCGCTGTATTGTACTGCGCCGTACTGTACTGTACTGCGCTGTATTGTACTCCGCTGTATTGTACTGCGCTGTATTGTACTGCGCTGTATTGTACTGCGCCGTACTGTATTGTATTGTACTTTGCTGTATTGTACTTTGCTGTATTGTACTCCGCTGTATTGTATTGCGCTGTATTGTACTGCGCTGTACTGTACTGTACTGTACCGTATCGTACCGTACTGCACTAAGATGTGTTGGAAATATCCGATTAACCAATCAGATGCGCACGTAGACAATGAGAGGTAGTGATAGCATGGAAGCCAAATCTAAACCCCTGTGTCATTTGGAAACCTTACACCCATTAACAAACAGTTATTGCCTGGATGATATAACTTCGCGATTTTTTTTTTATTTCCGCAGGGGACTGCAGAGGGACGATATGAACAACAGTGATGTAGTAGTATGTCGTCACATATCGATCTTCAAAGTCTACACGGGGAACACCAGCATCACAGACATGGCATCGGACATTAGCGCATGTCTAGTGAATGCCATACTTGCCATTCTGACGAGCATCGGTAACACATGCGTCATCGTTGCCTATCATCGCCACCAAGCGCTTCAAAACAAAAGCAACCTGCTGATAGTCGCTCTTGCATTCACAGATCTACTAGTTGGAATTTTCGTTCAACCGCTTTTCATTTGGGTGAAAATTAAAGAACTCATGGGCACAATTGATTGCCTGCTTGAAATCGTCAGCGATTTATCAACGAAGTTCTCATTCAGCGTATCGTTATTGACACTGGGTTTAGTCGTCGCTACGGAAAGATATATCGCCGTATTTTATCCGCTAAAACACCACTCTTGGCTCACGAAGAGAAAACTGTTTTGCTCAATCGTTTTTATATGGGTAGCAACTGCGGTAGTTATTCTCATAATTCCTTTGGGAGTACCTAGAGTTGTGTACCAGTCTTTTGGTCTAATACTCATTCTGCAAACTTTAACAACATCGTTGTTTTTGTATATCAAAATTGCGAGAAAAATTCGCGTGATGAAATCCCGCGTTGCTCCCCCGCGTGGGGTCGCGCGCGTCAAACGCGTGTCGTGGGCATTAAATCCTTCCCAAATCCGTGCGGCCATGACAATGTTTTACGTCTTGGGCTCCCTATTTCTATGTTTGATACCAATGCTAAGCGGATTTATATACGTGTCTAAACAAGGTCAAAACTTAATGTACCAAAAGTTTTTGTGGACATGGGGCGTCACGTGCGTATTTCTCAACAGTTTTTGTAACCCGTTCATATACAGCTTGCGTAATCGTAATATGTCGTCAGCTATTCGGAGATTGTTCGTGAAATATCGTAATGTGGACCTGCCGGTCGAGAACATATCAATGGCTAGAAAATCATACAGTCTAACCTAGGTGTAATGTCCACTCTTCGTTCTAAGTTTAAATTGACTAACCCTTTATTAACTTAGTTTACCGACTTTTATACAAAATACATGTCCACTAATTATTCATGTAAATTATTCATAATGAGTTCGTAATAAGCATAAACATTACACAAGGCATAGCTACCACATCTAACCAGTGAACTCTATAAAAATCAAGAACGATAAATCCAGGTAATATAACTTGATAACTCGGCCCTATGAGTGATCTCTTGTAGGTAAAAACACGCAAGTTTTTCCGATCGATGTTTTTAATATTTGCACAATATTTTTAGTGGTAAATATCCTAAAACTAAATAAAAAGGTACGATTGACGCAACTGCAGTCCACACTATGAGTTCTGTTTAGGTCAAATCCCTCATGAATAGTCTAAAAAAACAAAAGTTTGCTGGTTTTTCTCCACGGCTCTTTTTCGTCAAATAACTTTGCTTTTTATGATGAAGTGTTTCTAAAAGTTGCTTATTCTGAAACAACTTGCTCTAGCTTCTTAGGGAATTCGAAAATAGTCAGCCGAAAATTTATGAAATTTCGACATGAAATGATGGCGATTTTTCGTACTGAATTCAGTGAATTACCGCGTATGACATGCACCTACAAGACGGGCTTCTATTTCCGCCATCTTTGACTTTCAAAACACAAGTAGAGTTATCTTTCCAGTTTTTATACAGAGTTCACAGCATCTGCATAGCAATGGTTGATAATAATACTAAATATTTTATCGCAGTGGTAGAAATAAATACGGCTCATATTTTGAAATGAATAATTAAAAGTATAGCTAGAGATTCAGACGTCGTCCAGGCTTTGTTGGCGACGGCAAAATGCATATTTTCACATCTTGCAAAGTACGCTAGATTTCAAAGCCGTGGAAGGCAATTTTTCTAGCAGAGTTGATCAAAATCGCTCTGAAGGTTAAAGCTCTGTTTTACTTCTTCTAAACTGTATTAAATTCATACGAAAGTTATAAATACAAGACAATATTTCAATAAAATTGTTCCTTTCAAACAGATTGTCAGTATAGCCGTCGTACTGACGTCGCCGCCTTACATGCGTAAACTCCCTAATATTACCGAAATCAGTATAGAGTGTCTTTTCCGGAAGTTGAAAAGACAGTCAGTAGAAACGTTCATGTTTTATAGCATCACGGTAAAGGAATGCAGCGTGGAAAGAGAAGTTAAGCCGCGTTCACACTAGCGGCCGAGGCCTGGCCTGAACCTCGCCTGGGTCTAAGTGTGAACGGGTTTTACCTGGCCTGAGCCTGGCCTAGGCCTGGCCTAAGTCAAGAAATCCAGGCCAACAAATGTAGGTGGCCTGGACCTGGCCTGGGCTTCGATCATCACTGGTGTGAACGGGTTTTTCCTGGGCGTGGCCTGGGCGAGGCCCCGTTACCATCGCAATATCTGCCCACGATAAAAACTGGTCAGATGATTGTCATACAATTGGAGGGAAAAACATTCAAAGCGCGAAATTAAATACTTTAGTGGAACACAAGGACGTTTATATTGACGCCTCATTGCTTTGGCTTGGAGTTGGGCGTCAAGCCAGTGTGAATGCGTCACAATTGGCCCAGGCCAGGTCAAGGCCAGGTCCGGGCCAGGCCTGGGCCGCTGGTGTGAACGCGGCTTTAGTGAGGTGTGACCACGCCAAAAGTTTATATCAGGAGATTCAGGACAACCTATTAATAAGAGCGGTTGAAGGCGACACAATAGAAAATGAGTTTAATTCTGAAGGGGTTTTTTGATCGAAAAGAGCCATTGGCAATTTGTCCGAACTAAATAAAGTTACAAATAAGTAATTAAAATAACATGCAAGTTCCAACATGCAAGTTCAGTTGGTAAATGCTTGTGCAATTTACATGCAGTGTAAAGTTTCATGTTGTCTGCACATGTACATTCTTTGGAGACACCATTTTCCTCCTGACAAGTCGGGAAATGATCAAGAAAATGACTCTGATTGATGTACATCCTCTTTTGTATTGACATACGACAGTTGACATTGCTTATTAGTCGTCAATATTTGAGTGAGTCATGCTTTGGAAATGACGATAAATTTATATTACCTTATAATCCTTGTGTTGTTTTGTTTTTGATTTACACAAACTTCATGTCACTCAAAATTATGTTTACGCCCTCCCCCCCTGCTATAAATAATGAGCGCTCCCTTAGTATAGTGGAAAAGGGCTTTCGCTCCAACGTCCAATTTGTTAAGGGGGAGCTTAAGCAAGCGACGTTTTTGTCAACGCGGACGTCAGATTGCCGGGGGGGGGGGATGGATTAAAAACTGTGTTTGTATCATGCACTTTGTGGTAATCTTCAACACATATGACAAAACATAAGATTTTTAAACTTTTTTGCTTCTTTATACGAGCGCTATGATGCAACATGCGGGTAAAATTAGTCAGACCAATTTTCGGGTGACGTCCATGTTGACAAAAACGTCGCTTGTTTAAGGTCGCTGTCTCAAGAAAGGCAAAACAGGAAAGTGTACAGTAATAATTGGGGGTTATTGAAAAGGATGTGTTGGTTTAAAAAAGGTCTTGTCAATGATTGTATTATCCCTAATTCATGCACGCATAACCAGAAAAAATAAACTAACATAAATCGGTACATTATAAAAGCAACAGTATTTAAATGTTTTCTTTGGCGTTCCTCCAGGCCTTAAAATATCTTTTCCAGGGCCGTCTGACAAAATGTCCGGTGACGTTGAGATTGGGTCGGACATATGTCCGATGACCTTCAGTTCATTTTTGACTCGGAAATAAGTCTGAATGACACAAATGAATAAACGGTAAATGTTGTAAAGATATTAAATAATTTGTTTCTTTCATACATACTTGCCAGAACAGCAGTATCAAAAAGACTTCGACAACTTAAGTCCGTTTTCCACTTCACCATTTCGCTCGCCGCCCCGCGCTCGACTATACGTTAAAACAACATTTCCAGTTGACCTTTTATACAATAGTACTCTGATTTTCCATTTAACATACAAGCCTGCCTCTAGTCCTGGCCTCCTGGGCTAGGGTACATTTTGATTTACGTCGGACAAAGCTACAGTTCGGTCGGACACCAATACACTCGGGTCGGACAAACAATAAACCTCAGTTTCACTTAGGTCGGACAGAATGTCCGGTGGTTTCTTTTCTACGTCGGACAATTTCACGAATGGGTCGGACACATTCCGTGACCGACCGACATTTTAAGGCCTTGGAAGTTCCTCTCAAAATTCGTTTGTTTTAGCTTTATTTTGTAGTTTAAACCGTTAGCTAACTTTTTAAACGTATCTGGCGGTTGAAGAACACAACATAATAGTTAAATACAGTATATTGTCAATGTTCAACACGATTATATCATTGATGTTGTATTATTCATTTATTCTTGTACTGCCTCAACTGATAAATATAATACACCGAATAAAGTGTCTACGCTGCTAATGCGTCTACAAATTACGGACCCTGGCGATTGGCGAAAAACAATGCTAAATTTTGTAAAATAATTTATTCCTTGCGATATAATAAATAAAATATAAATAATAATGGCATCTCTCTTAAATTCACTATAAATTAATTCTTCAAACTTATAAAGCCGTCAAAAATAAATCAATGTTCAAGTTTAGTGTTTCGCTTGCATGTTTTGAATAGATCCCCCGGGTGCACCGTCCTTCCACATTCCAGAACAGAGTTGTCATAGTTAACAGCACAATAAAATGGAGCAGGGTTGCATGAAGCAGAAGTGTAACAAGTCCATCAGTGAGACTGTCACTCTGAAATGCAGAGTGTGCCAAAATGAAATGTTGAGAAAGAACTACAAACTCCACCTAAAGGTTGTTCACGGAAGTCAAAATTCTAAAGATCTGACTCCATTTGGTCAGTCAAAAATAACTGACATGTTGCAGAGTAAGATTCACATACTGTACCAAAGGCTTTTAACACTTGTGAATGAACTGTCTGCTGGACTAAGTGAGAAAGTTTACAGTTTCGAAGGTAAGGCTGTAATAGAAGAGACCAGAGTTGTCCTTGACTTACCTTCTTTGGCCCTTAAACTTAAAGACCACGGAGCAAGTCCCAGCAAGGTTTCAGTTACTGGGTTCCCCAAGTTCAAAGAAGCACTATCAAATGTTCCAGTTGATAGTCTCAAAGATGTTCCCAACGAGGAGTTGAAGTCACAGTTCAAGACTTTTCTTGAGAGGCTGGAAGCTTTGACTAAAGAAGTTGATACGGTCGAGTTATGTGTATTAGATTCTAAAGAACTCATCAAGAAATTTTTGGATCCAGATGGAAAACTATTCAAAGATATAGAGATGATCATGCGGTCTCTAGCAGTTTGTGCTGTCAAGCAGAGCTGTGAAAGTGTTCCTGAGTCCTTTGTTAGCAGATATGAGAATCACTTTGACGCGAGGAGAAACACCACGGAAGATGCCACTAATCAAGAATTTGAAATTGCAGTCAATGGACCTAACTTGGCCAACGGTGATGCTGTTGTCATCGAGGCAATTAATCGCTATTGGGTAAGCAAACGGCCAACAGGTGGAGTAGGAGGCATGGGGGATTGGCACTTTTTCAGAAAGTCTCTGATTGAGAAACTGAAAACCCACCAAGGTGATTCTGTGGTCCTTGACAACCTTATGAGCACCAAAAACAACCTCCCTTTCATGACTTGATTCACATGAACAGAATTGAATTGATGCAACTATTGAATGTTACTCTTTAATCTTGATAGTCTTTAAATAGACGTTTTTTGAGAAGAATGAGACTGTTGTCACATGCATTGTCGTTTAAGGCATAGTAGGCTTAAGCGTTTATTACAGTTTAATTTGATATGCTAATTGCTAAGACCTAAGTTGCTAACATTAGTAACATAGAATTATTTAATATTATCCAATATCCAATAAATTGATTAACTGAATAGATTTTATATCCACACCGGGCAGGCTTGAAAAAGATGCCTGGCCACGGTGGGAATCGAAAATACGACCTTTGGAATACTAGCCCAATGCTCTGCCAACTGAGCTACGCGGTCAGGTCGGTTCGAGCATGTAATATTTCGGAACTGAGTCTACTGAGTCTATATTTTTCAAGCCTGCCCGGTGTGGATATACACTCAAAGTAACATCACAAGCATCTTATTCACCTGAGTACATTACACCAAAAACAGCAAATATCATGAATAGATTTTGTTACTGCGGATTCAGGTAGACCGTTTAATGCGAATAGTTGTCGCGTTAGTTTTAACAGTTGTACGATGACGTTTCTAGGCAGATTTTCGACGTTTCTAAGGCGTGGCTTCAACGTTTATTTTTAAAATTTGAACGTTGTAATTACAAGGTAATTGCGAAATAATATACTTCAAAATAAGGTTTCCGTTTTTATAACGTAGAAAAAATCATCTTAACGCAAAACTAAACCCTTATCTAACCCTAACTTATTTAAAAAATTGATATAAAAACGGAAACCTTATTTTGAAGTATATTATTTAGCAATTACCTTGTAATTACAACGTTCAAATTTTAAAACTAAACGTTGAAGCCACGCCTTAGAAACGTCGAAAATCTGCCTAGAAACGTCATCGTACAACTGTTAAAACTAACGCGACAACTATTCGCATTAAACGGTCTACCTGAATCCGCAGTAACAGTGAAGGCTGTGAAGTGTGAAGCACATGTGGTTAATTAATGCCTAACAGCTGTAAGAGTCAAAATTTAAGTGCTGTTAAACCAACTGAATTTGATGACAGTGTTTTCAAAGAAAATATTTCCCTGCTGGCCTGACCGCGTAGCTCAGTTGGCAGAGCATTGGGCTAGAATTCCAAAAGTCATAGGTTCGATTCCCACTGTGGTCAGGCATATTTTTCAAGCTTGCCCGGTGTGGATATACACTCAGAGTAACATCACAAGCAACAACCAAGTATTTTGCCCAGGCATGCAAATTCAAAAGCGGCAACCAGTTGGAATCAGCGATTTTGCTTATGCTTACGTCTCGATAATGATATTAATGAGGCTATAAGTCCGCTTTCGTGCAGGTCAACTATTGCACCCTACTGTACTTTATTATTTTACTCTGTCTAATGCCTGGTGATTTGACTCGTCAATGGGAGAGCGCTGGCATTCAGTGGGTTAATCAGAACATCTCCCATGTGTCTAGGCAACCCATTGAGTTGTACTGCTCCCCAATGCACCCTACTTTATTATTTTACTCTGTCTAATGCCAGATGATTTTACTCGTAAACGAGAGAGTGCTAGCGCTCAATGGGTTAAAACTATTTGTTGCAAATGCAAAACTGCTCGTAGCCTCCGAAAGGAAGTTGGTTCGGACAGTTTACAAACTGTTTAAGTATTATTAATAATTACCTTAGTTTGATTTAGCATGATTCTATTTGATTCAATCAATTTGATTTGCATGCTAAGTGATTGAATTAGTGATTAAGCGTTGACAAGTTATTTTAGTGCAAGGCCATAACGTAAGACTTAATGAATAAGAAGTCAGTATTGTTGAGACACTGTACGAGACAGTGAGCTAGGACATTCACTCTTCAGGTATTGCAAATTGTATTTTATATTTCGGATCTTTGATATTGTGTAACCCTTTAATCATTACCTAATCAAAGTCTAATCAATTTCAGAATGTATTAAAATAATATATTTATACGAAAAATCTCTACTGGATTGCGTGTGGTTTTGCCCAAACGGAAACAGAAGTTTTCTGTTGTTTGTAACTAGATCTTTCTATAATCATATTTTAATTAATCTTATAATAATGTATGTATATTATAGTTATAGTGATATCTAATAGTATGTAGTATTTAAAACACGAGTAGGAGAGTTTTTATCAGATATTAAGTGCGAGGCCCAGCCGAGCGTTTTATATCTGATAAAACATGACAACGAGTGTTTTGAATAGCTTAAAATACGACTACAAGAGAATACTAATTAGGATAAACAATTATATAATCATACTAATTAGGATGAACAATTATATAAAGAATACTAATGAGGATAAATTTTATCAGATATAAAGTCACTCCACGTGACATGTTATGGCTGACATGATTTGCCACAAGGTTTACTAATTAGTGTTTTAAGTAGTATTATTGGGACCGCTGTAATTGCCCTCAAGCTGTAACGGTTGCCCTACCATATTTGGTAAAGCTTTTAAATATAATATAAAATATAATGACCAGAAGCTCTAACATGAGCGAAGCTCCCAACCTACAAAGTTTTCACTTGGGGCCTGTGTCATCTAGGAAACATTGCCTCTTTCAACATACAAACTGGGAGGAGCTAATTCTCCCCCAACCCTCATGCCCCCCACCCTCCAGTAAACCACTTTAGATCATGCTACTAGACTGACAAATCCTGTTAACTTAGAGGTGGTGTAGTTCATTGTGCAAATCTGCTGAATGTGAATATAAAATACAAAATTATGATTTAAAAAGGCATTTTATCTTTAAATATAATAGTAAATTTGAACTTCCCGCTGACATTCGTGAGGCGTCAACAGTGGAAACTTTTAAAAACAGACATAAGACCTTTCTTTTTTAAAAAGGCATTTTATCTTTAAATATAATAGTAAATTTTAAACATGTATATATAGGTATCATCTCATACTTTATAACATTTTATTTGAATTTGTAATGATAGCGCTTTAAAATATTTATAGTGTTTAGCGCTTTATAAATTAATAAATTATTTATTATTTTATTATTATTATTCTTTACAAATTATATTATGTTCTCTGCATTATAATTAATAAACGTTTTGAACATTTGACTTGGTACTCTGAATCTACACATACAGAGCTCGTAGTCTCCCAAGCGAAAAAATTTAACGACTCTCAAAGATTTTTTCTGCCTACTTTCAAAGACTTTTCAAAGAACTTTCAGAGCAATCAGCTGTCGAAAAATTGCGAGTGTAAGCGCCATTGTTACCCGGTAATTAGTCCCGTCAGAACACATCCTAAAATGCGCCTTTTCGTCGATATTGCGAAAACCTTGCTCTTCAATCAACCTATTTTATTAGCTAGGAAAACGTATAATTAAACACTTACTAAAGAATCTAAAGACTTTTAAAGACGTTCTTCGCGTTTTCACGCAATTCAAAGACTTTTCAAAGACCTTAAAGACCTGCGATCCTTCAAATTTAAAGACTTTCAAGGATTTCAAAGACCGCTATACCCTGCACTAATTGATCATATATGTTCCTCATTAACTGTCAGTAAAGGGGAAATATGCTAAGAAGAGGTTGTGCGTTAGAGAATGGACCATTTTCATCAAAGACTAAACTTTGATCTAAATAAGTCTAGAAAAAAATTTCATCACAGCTTGAAAGAGCATCACAAAATTAGTAATATTCCAAAGTTTCGTTGGGAATGTTGTAGGCTAAAATGCGGATAACGTAGCCTTGCGAAGTTTGCAATTTTCAGTTATTTTGTATTACGCAAGGGAAATGAACAGCCCAAACGGGTGTCGGGGCATCAATTTCCCGTTTGTAATACAAAATGACTGAAAAACGGCAAACTTCGGAAGGCTATATTATCCGTATTTTACAACATTTCGCAACGAAACTTTGGAATATTACAAATTTTGTGATGCTCTTTCAAGCTGTGATGAAATTTTTGTCTAGACTTGTTTAGATCAAAATTTAGTCTATAATGCAAATGGCCCATTAACTTGTTGGAAATATACAATTACTTTATGGTTTCCGTGTTTGGATGGCGTGATCCAAACACGCGGGAATGTTGCGAGAGTTAAGAAAAGCGCGCGAAACACGAGCCGAAGGCGAGTGATTTTGCGCGCTTTTCTTAACTCGAGCAACATTCCCAAGTGTTTGGATCAGGCCATCCAAACACGGAAACCATAAAGTAATTGTTTTATAAAATAACAACAACACGATATTCTTGCAAGTTTTATTTAAATAAGCGCAAGTATAAAAGCTAAATTCTCCCAAGTTGCAATGCTAAATTCTCCCAACTTTACGACAAGGCGAACGACCTTCAACGAAGCTATATAATTTTGTAAACAATCAGGTCAATCAACTGTGAAACACTACAACGTAAATTTAGAACGAAGTTTTTCTGTTTAAAAGTTTAACAAAATTACAAATGTTGATTAAAGTTCACGTTTACACTGCTGATTAAGCAGTTGTTAAACATTCCGGCGAAATCAGGCAATCCTTGCAACGAGACGCTAGGTGACGAAGAACCAAGGTCAGAAGAAGCAATTGTTGTCGTTTTTGTCACGGTGGTTTGTGAGAATATTCCGACTGCAGGTTTCTTCCTAAGTGGTTTATTATGCCCCGTATTGTCGCCAAGAGCTCCGGAAAGAACTTCTCTTGAACGCTTCAACTGATGTGACGATGGTCGCTGATTGTAGTGGACAAGAGACTGTTCGCTGCGATGCCCTGAAATTGCCATTATATGGCGATTTGTTAAGCCGGCGTTGGACCACAATGTTATAGACGTCGCTCTCACGGAGTGAAAACTTTCGACAGAGATGCTGCTTCGCTGATAGTTTTCATCATATTACCAAGCGTGTTTACACCAAGAGCTTTGTTCTCGTACCAAGTATTGTCAGCCGGACTCCACTTCCGCTTGGGATATTGAAAGAATGCTTCGCAGGAAGGATGCAATTTGGTAATGAATAGCTGCAAAGCTGAGAAGCCGTCCGTTTTCTGCATCGGTCTTGTACATCCTTCCCAAATTTTCAAAGCTTTCGTTGTCGTGAATACCGCCAGGATGATTTTTTGACGCTTCACTGTGAGCCATGGTGACAAATGCTTCCCCGTTTGCATCTTCGGTAAAAACAAAGCTATCCTTCGTCAGCTTTCGTTGTCCTTCTCGTCCTCTGCGGCACCAAAACAAAGACACATGAAACCATACGTTTCTAAGGAGACCAAGTGGAGTGGACACATTCAATACGTCGCTATTTTTTAGCTTTGTGAGGTCTTCAGCTTCCAAGACGGGCTTGTGTACAACATTCTCCTTTCCCTGTTTCTTCAAGGATACTATCTTGGCGTTCAGCACGGAGTTTGACATTTTAAATGCTGGGTTGGACGACATGCTCAAACCTCTGTTGTACGGTGGACAGTTCAGGTATCGCTCTAGTCCGTGTTTTAAACCAATTAAAGTTGATTTACTGTAGTCTTCACCTTGCTGGTTTTTTACTTCGGCGTAAAATTGACAAAGACATTTATCAAGAGTTTTGTCGTCCATTTCGTGCAATTCTTGTTGAATGTTTCGCTGTTTCGACCATTCTATAAATACATCTAAGCAAATAAGAATTATAGGAATGACAGCGAAATAGTGTAGGCTACTGAATTTCAACATTTGCGGTTTAAATGCGAATGTTTATATTGTTTATAAATCTAAACAATCACTGTACCTTTAAAAACATTGACAGCGTATGTTGTTTTGTACTTCGTATTTTTCGACTGTACATCGCTTAACAGCTCGTCAATATTCTCCTGGGTTACTTCAGCAAACCTTTTACGCGTTTCACTCTTTTCTGCGGTTGCACAAATGCCCTCCAAATCAATTTTGGCAAAAAATTCGTCTTCAGAGTCAGACATGTTTAAAATTCCCGCGAAGGCACTTTAAATTTCCGTGTTTGGATGGCCTGATCCAAACACGAGTTTCGACCAATCAGAGCACGCGTTATATACATGTTATTTTATAAACATATTTCACTTGTTTTGGCCAAGATAAAACGTGCGTGCGGAACATTCATTGCGACTGGTGTTCATAATGCTAACACAGACGGTACACTCGGACATGGTTGAAAGTTTCATCAATAAACATCATGTAACCGTATTTGTTTCTATACTGTATAGGTTTTATCTGGAAAAGAATCCAGGGGGTTCTATCGCTAGTATAATTAAGTATTTGATTTAATTGTGCTGTTAGTTTACATATTAAGTAACAGAACATTTATTTTTAACTGTTACATAATACAGTATACATGGGGGCAGTATCACTATGACGGGAAACACATACACTGTAGCCAAACCCAACAGAAGATATTTTCTGCCCGACCATCTGCCATGCAGGCTACTTATTAATTAAATAAATTGAAATTCATGTATATTGTTTTTAAGTTAGCAAGCTTTCCAGCGAGTCTTTCGCCAAATTTCTGTACATGCTGTAGCCAGGACTCACAGAATCCAGTAACAAGTAAATCGAGTCATAACTTTCCTGCTCCATGTTTTCTGTATATACATCAATTTCATCGCCAACAACCTATAGAAATGGAAGAATTTTCATTCAATACCTTTGTCTTTCAAGGCCAATTGCGCACTTGACACTCGCTGAAGACAGAATTTTGCACACCAGACTGCAGAGTTGGTCATCGTCGCCAGGGGGTGTTCACTTTTTTGCGAGACTGCTACCACAAGAATTACATGAAAATGTGCCTGAAAAATGTCTTCATGCAACATGTGAAATCATGACGTGATGAGCCATCAGCCATGAATCACACTATAGATGCCGATTAGTAGGCTGGCTTATTGAGTTATGGCTTTATATATTTTTTTCCCAAGCAATCGAGAATTTTAAGCTCAGACTCGCAATCATGAATGTGCACCGTGCACTGGTAGTCGTTGTCAGAAAGTTTTACAAAATGTGCCTGCGACCGTCGGTCCCCACTTTAGTTACCCCTGAACGTCGCATTTAATTTTTTTAGGCAGAAATGTTTGCAATATTTAATTTTTGCAATTTGCAAAATGTGCCCTCAAATCTATGATTTTCATTGTTTTGAACATGTATCAGGCTCCTACTGAGTAAGTACTTTTGTTCGCATTTGGGAACAGTTTGCGCACCAGAGATCAGGGGTGCCGGAGCCACGGGGGCAGCGGTCCCCGTTGCTCTAACAGTGCGGGGGCAACTGGTTGCCCGCCTTTTTGTGACAAAAAATGATTAACGGCATTAACTAATAAGTTATTATTGTTGACTGGCCGTCATAAAATTATGTATAAGCACAGGAGGCCCAGGCTCGATTTGCTCGCGCCCGCCTGTGCCTTCCTTATAACGAGGGAAGGAAGGAGACATTGAGACCAAAATAGCCCAGACTTGGCATATGTCACACGAAACTATCCTCGATTTTTCGCTTTTAATGCATTTCTTTCACGATTAATCGATATCCCCTGCAAGAATGATACCGTATAACTCTCAAAACAACGATACTTTAATCAAAGAGCTTAAATTCGCTCTGAAATCCGTGAGGGAATAACAAAATTCGGCCAAAATATATCCGCGTGCCGGGTTTGCTGTGCAAAAAGCGGAAGTCGTTGAACAACTCAAAATACACTCAACCCTGATTGGACAACGAATATCAACAAACTTTTCAATTTTTTTAACAAATGCAATGTGAAATACAATTTATTATACATATTAACGTACTACAGTTATATTTACATGCAGTAATATTTACACTTTTATATAACGTTTGTGAATAGTTTTTTATTGTATGATTGAAATTATTACAGTACTGTTAAACAAATTGAAATGTTTGTTGATATTCGTTGTCCAATCAGGGTTGAGTGCATTTTGAGTTATTCAACGACTTCCGCTTTTTGCACAGCAAACCCGGCACGCGGATATATTTTGGCCGAATTTTGTTATTCCCTCACGGATTTCAGAGCGAATTTAAGCTCTTTGATTAAAGCATCGTTGTTTTGAGAGTTATACGGTATCATTCTTGCAGGAGATATCAATTAATCGTGAAAGAAATGCATTAAAAGCGAAAAATCGAGGATAGTTTCGTGTGACATATGCCAAGTCCGGGCTATTTTGGTCTCAATGTCTCCTTCCTTCCCTCGTTATAAGGAAGGCACAGGCGGGCGCGGGCAAATCGAGCCTGGGCCTCCTGTGGTATAAGTATATACTATGACCACGTTAATTTCATGGTTCATTTACGCATTACGCAGGCTACGTTGATCGTCTTGTTATCTTATATAAGCCTGCCTTCTAATTTTTCTAGTATCTTGACACACCTAAACTTCTGTGGTCGATTAGCGCAGCCATGCTCTAGCAGACTGGCACTACAATACTGCATTCTTGATAAGTCTACCCCTGTTCTAGACTGTTTTAGAGCATTTCAGCTTCTTGTGGTTTTCCACCCAAGATACGCAACCTTATTAAGTTCAGCTTTTAGTCTGTTTAACTTCCTTGCGTGTACTACAGTATAAATAAGAAGCACTGACCGTGATAGTTAATTAGCCTTTTTCACGCCCCGCCAGTTTTGGGGTACTGCCTTTTCCAAATCTATGATTGTACGCAGTGAATAAGGGATTTGTATAACTATAATTGTGAGTATAATAATTTTAAGTTAATTTACAGTCAAATATTTGAAATATGTTTTCACATGGCTTAGATTTTCCATGTCATTTTTAAAGAAGTACCCCCCAAAATGGCGAATTTGGCCTTCGTGTGAAAGGCTAATTGACTCGGTTTTTGGTTGAGATATACATCGGCATACGAAAGCAAGGAAGCAAGGATTACAAATTGGAGTTATCGGTTTCTTTAAAGTACAGTGTTACAAGTTTAAGTTTTTGTCGACATGAGGAATTATCGGTTTATTATTCCTTTATTATCTATCACTTTAGTTTACTGTGCGAGTATATTTTCATCAACTGTATTTGCATTAATTTAGTTTATTGTACGATCATCCAGATTAAATTTTAATTATTTCTGACGTTTCGGCTACCTACACGGCAGCCATTATCAAAGACGTATTACGTAGTTACAAAAAAATTTACAGTTATGATTAACTGTAAATTTTTTTGTAACTGTAATACGGCTTTGATAATGGCTGCCGTGTAGGTAGCCGAAACGTCAGAAATAATTAAAATTTAATCTGGATGATCGTACAATAAACTAAATTAATGGAAAACCCCGGATTCAAACCCTTCAGTGAACTGTATTTGCGTTACTTCTTGTTATTAGGGAGATTAAGCTTCACGTTTCCGGGAACGGCATATTAAACGGCATGCAGGTTCGAACTTTCTTGGCAAAATTTTCGTCGAATGTTTTCGTTTCATATTTTCTTTCTTGCGTCGAAAGAATAATTATGTATTTTAGTTAAAACAGCAAGTTTATTTACTCCTTATTGCTTGTAACAATATTTTGCACTTTTCTGTTTTGCCTTGCACAATGTTCGTGACCTACATGTTATGATCTACTCAATTTATTCATAATTAAAAATCTAATCTAGTGTACAATATGTAGAAATATTTGGCTGCAATCTGTCAGACTTCACCAACTACCAAAATATTTCACGAATACACTTAAAATGTTCACTGTTTGTTGTTTATTAATACTCAAAATTATGTCAAATCTCTCCCCAAAATACACGAAATGGCATTTCAGAGACTCTACTGTTTAATAATTTCCTGGGGGAGGATGCCCTTGGACACGCCTACGAGGTGTCGTGCCTTCGGCACTTGAGTGCCCTTTTTGACATTCTGCCCCCGCCGCTTTTCAGTCCTTCCGGCGCCCCTGCCAGAGATCTCGTTGAAAAGCGAGCCCCACACTGCCGTCTGACTTGTGCACATGAATTTTTGCATGCGCATGGAAGATCTTCTGTGTGCACTGCAAATTTTCCAGTCTGTGATGAATCAAACCAACCAGTTGTCAAGCTCTATAGTAACTTCTCTATGAACTTGCAGTTAGAGTCAGTTGGTTAAAGTGCGGCACTGGAATCGTAGGGCCAGCTGACTGGAAAGTTTGGAAATTGGGCGCCAGAGGTTTTGAAAATTTAACCCATTGAGTGTCAGCACTCTCTACCTGACAAGTAAAATCATCTGGCATTAGACAGAGTAAAATAATAAAGTAGGGTGCACTGCTTAAAGGTTTAATAGTAAATATACAGAAAGCATCAAAATTGCATGGCCAATATCTCCGCAAGGCCTAAAAAAAAATACCGTCTTGTGGTTCCGGTTCCCGACTGACACTATTTTTTTCTGCCGACCCTATTATTTTTTCAACACGATTGACAGTGCGACCCTATTTTCTCCAGGTTGTTGCAGCGGGCTGCTGCCAAAATGGGTCTGTTGTCACACTAATTATTGAAAAGACCATGAAAAAAATATTCAAAAATTTATTTCCGACCTACTGACCCTAATTTTTTCGCAATATGAAACTGGATACACAGCCGTTTAGGCCCAATGCGATACAAACTTTCCACACTGGTATAAGGGCAGTAGTTATCAAGATTTTGTTGGCATCTCACTCACCATTAACCTTCAACTACAATTCAAACAAGTGAGATTGGAACAAAATCTTGATATTTACACATACTGTAACCTTAAATGGCAGTATCCTGTATATACATGAACTTGTGATTAAAGCTCGACAACTGGCCTCTGTAGCTCAGTTGGTTCGAGTGCTGCACCGGAATCGCAGGACCACAGATTTGATTCCTAGCTGCCATGGACTTACAGTCAAATCCGGTGTTCCATTGCGGGCAACATTGCAATATTGTCATGCCATATTGCTCAATATTGATCAACTGATTGCTTAGCAAATTGCAACCAACGCAAACAAATTGCAATTTTTACATACAGTAATTACAGTACTAAACCGTCAACTGCAAAATTCAAAAGTTCATAAAGAAATAAAGCCTGATTGGCTACTAGTACAAAACAAGCCAATCAAATGCTTGGCATTGACATTTGGGCGCGACCTCTCGACAAATTGTCAACATGTAAGAATTGCAATTTGTTCACATAGGTTGCGATTTGCTAGAGCAATCAGCCGATCAATATTGCAATATTGGGTGACAATATTGCAATGTTGCTGGCAACGGAACACAGGATTGTAAAGTTGTATTTTTCGAATGTATAAATGTATAAATTTCCACTCAATAATTTTAATCTACAATATCCCTTCTACAAGTGCCATTACGGTAGTTATATTGAGTTCTTGTAAGTACTATCAAGGCCAAATTAGTGAGTACAAAATTGTAACATTTTTCACAAAAAAAACAACATTGGGCTACATGTATTCCAATTTAATATCCGTACCCCTCCCCCCCTCTCTCCCTGTCAAGGATCACTGGAATTCTATAACAGGGGTTAATGGAAATGGAATTCCAATTCTTCAAGGGTACAGTATTTTAATAGGGTAAAGGGTTTTGAGATTCTTCAGGCAAGGTTCCCAATTTTTACAGAGAGACGTGTACAGCACGAGTCAGTGGTACTTTGCCTTTTGGTACCCATATAATTCACCTACTTCTTTCACAAAGCCTTCTACCCCAAATTGTATTGGGAACCTGATTGGATTCTCAGATCTTTGGAGGAAAGCATAGCCACTTGGCGTGACACAAAGGAGTTTTTGGCGAAAAAAATTAAAATGCAGCAGATTGGCGGGCTGGCGGACTGTGTGTGTTTAAGAAATTTTGTGCTTTTGGCGGGTTTTCTAAAGTTGTAATTTTCTTGGCGTAAAATCTATGGCGGGCGAAAATGGAGAAATCCAATCAGAATTGGGAACCCTGCTTCAGGGCTTGTAATTCTTCAGAAGTAAAGGGTATTTGAGTTTGAAATTCTTCAGGGTGGCGTATGGAATGAAGGTGGTGTGCACAGCACATGTGTCGTGCACAACGTTGCTCCTGCTAATATATTTACTAGTATTTTGGTGCACATTTTCATTTTGTCAAATGTGCAGTGCACAAAAAAGTGTCATTCCATACAGGTTCAGGGGTAAAAGGTTTTGTACTTGGAATTCTTCAAGGTTATACTGTAAAGTTCTATGAAAAACATGTATCCTCGACGCGCGGGGGGGGGGGGATTATTAAAATGGAATAGCCAATTCATAAATATTCTATGATAAATCATACAATACCTTCAATCATAGCCTTCAATGCACCAGTGTTCGACCGTATAGACACATAACACACTTTATGTTTACCCCTCCAATGTGATAATATTCATGACATAAACAATCAATCTTCGGAACTGGCTACAGTGTAACTTTGTTAAGACATTAATACGCTGAACAGCAAACTAATATCCGAAATAATCAACTTTGCATGTTGGCGAAAATCGATTTCACACATCGCCATATTTTATAATACAAAGTTTTTCGAAGCCTTGGAGTTTTTTGAAGTACTTTGTGTGAGATTTGTGAACACATGAATTATACCGTCGTTTGCATCTAACATTGAACAGAGTAGCCTCCTCCGCAGGCGGGACGGCCAGTATTTTTTGGCGGGGGGGGGGGGAATTCTTAAAAAAATTGTAACAAATGGAAAAGCAATGGATATAGTGAAAACCTTAAATTGTAATAGAGCAATCCCAGACCTAGATTCACTTACAACCAATCTAGTTGAATCATGCGTTAAAAATACTAAAGAAAAGTACCAGAGATTCTGGAGACATATTAAAACTTGAAAACTCATCCAAACTTACCTTGTACACAAGCATAAAGAAAGACTATGAGCTTGAAACTTATTTGACTACCATAACTAATTCAAACCAAAGAAAACGTTTAACACAGCTCCGACTAAGTAACCATAAACTAATGATTGAACTCGGTAGATACGAAAACATTCCGCGAGAAGACCGAATATGCAAGGTCTGCCAGGCAGGAGAAATAGAAACGGAACATCACTTCCTAACATCCTGTGAAGCCTATAGTAGTCTTCGAGAAAACTTTCTAAATGACTTGGAAAGTGATCCCACCAATGAAACAGATTTAAACGAACACAGTTTATCAGTTGAGATAATGAAATCAACTGATAAAGAAACCGTGATAAAATTATCAAAATTTATCTCTTTATGTTTTGAGAAGAGATTTAATTAATGCCTTGAAGCTCGGAATGCTGACAGTCAATAGGCTATCGTTCTAACTCCCAAACTTCTTCAATTACATATATACTGTAAATAGACTATTCATTTGTTAACTATGCCTTTCTTTATATCAATAACTTCATTTTTATTTCTTGTATTACTCATAGTGTCATATTACCACAAACAAAAAGTGCAAATAAATTAATTGTTTGCACACATAAAGAAGAAGAAAAAAATAGTTTGCAAGCTAATGAGATTAGGCAACATGCTAAGGTTTAATACAATGAACATAGTGCTCACCAACATACCCAGGGTCTTCACCCCAAAAGCCCTGGGATGGGAGACGCTGGGCCCATGTCACAATCTATACACGAGTTATAAATATTAATCTATTGAATACAGTCATTTTTTGGGTTCTTTTTTTCTGTATGTTTTTTGTATAAAATAGGTAATTGGACAAGTACTGGTGTAAGATATTATGTGGTGTAAATAATGAGAGGACCAGTATCAAGACCTTTTTTATTCGGTTTAACACAGAAGCCGCGGAGGGGGCAAATGTCCCCTTATGCCCCCCCCCCCCCCCCAAAAAAAAATCATATCATATCCTCCCCAGGAAAAGTCCCTTTTTCCTAAATTTATACAAACGAACCAGCGAAAAATGACAAATTGATAAACAAAAAGTATGTTTTAGGCTTTGTCCTTTGTCCTTGTTTAACAAAATCGATTTAAATTGTTGTTTTTCTACCACTAATTAATGATAAACTATTGTTAGACTGCTTTAGGCTGATTGGTTAATTTTATCATCGCATTGTTTTTCCACCAATCCGATCAGTTTGTTACTGATTTTTCGCACTGTGTCTGTGAGTAAAATCGTTTGGCGTTTATGGACAGAATGAAATAATAAAGTTGGGCACATCTGGCCAGTGCATTGCCACAGAAAATTATTGCCTTTAATTACTGTAAGTATTATTATCTGAAGCACCCAGATGTGCCCTACTTTATTGTTTTACTCCAACACTACACAATTTTATTCTTCAAGGGGAGAATGGTGGTGCTCAACAGGTTTAATATTCAGACTACTTTGGGTCTATTTGCCCTTGTTTCTAGTTACGATTTTACTTGTCATGTGGAGTCCTGCGCTTCAATGGGGTAAAATTAACCCATTGCCTGGCCAGTGTTATTACCCACATATATTAAATTGTGATTGTTACAGGTCTACAAGAAAGTTGTTACAAATCTGTTCACAAGCTGTTAACACGTTGTGTTCGCACTACTCAGTGTTCCTATAGGGGGCGGACCATTAGAAAAGCGATGGGGGGGGGGCAAAAATAAAAATTGAGCAGGGAAAACAGAAAGAAAAAAATTCGTGCACCAAAAAAGTTTGAAAAAAAAAATTCGTGCAAGGGATTATATTTGAAAAAATTATCGACACAAGCAAAAAATTTTTAAAAAAATATTCATACAAGTCAAAAATCCCCCCCCCCCCTCCTCCTATCAGACTGGTTACAAGGTTGTTTTGAAGAAGTCTGATACAGTCACGATATAGCAAGAATATTAAAAGTTTGACGACACAAGGTTGTAACAATATTGTTCTAACATGACTGTATCAGACTCGTTGCAACAACCTTCATAATACAAGTTTTATTCAAGATAGAGAATTAGGGCCTGTTCATCATATGAGCCGGGCTGGCCTGTTAGACCAGGCTAGCTCGCTTTTGCCAGATCAAGTTGTTGTTTCACACGAGGCAGGCGGCCCAGTTTCCTGGGTTAACCACTATCAAGTGTGTTCATATGAGCCTGCGAAGGCAAGGATCTCACCTCACTGACAAATGGGAGTCTGGCAAAACGGGCCAGGCTCTCATGCGAATCAAATCTCAAAAATATATAAAAACATAATACAAGGCAAGATCTCGCCACTTGCGAGTCTGCCGGAGCCAGGCCAGCTCATATGAATAGGCCCTTAGAGAATCAAGTACCACGCAATTCGTATCAACCACACAATTCATTGAGTGTGCAAAGGTTTAATATGTATGCACAGGTATTTTCCATATGTAAATATCTGCAAAGCTCTTTCATACCGAAACTTTTTATGCAGTTTTCCTAAATGCATGCAGGCTACTCTATTGTTGGACAATAAGGCAAAGAAAAGAAAATCAAACCACAGTTTAAAGGAGCAGATATACTAACAAAAATATGAGGCTTGCTGGTAAAGTACTATAGAATTGGCGAAATCGATATAACTCTGCGGGATATAAATATAGCGGCCTTGCGAAGTTTGCAATTTTATTTTTGTACAGCAGGCAGGGGCGAAATACTCGCCTGTTGCTATTAAAATGAAAACATCGCCAAGTCTGTTCAAATTTTAGTTTCTGAATTACAGCTGTTTTATAGACTTGCTAGCTTGGTATTTTATATACAATGAATTTCAAAGAGATGTACTGCGCTCGCCTATAAATGCGGTTAGAAATTAGATTATCATCATCATCGAGTATTGGTTCAATTCTTTCATACATTTGTTGGCTCTTAAAAGAGCCGGTTTTTGTTTTGAAGGTTTACAGGAAAACCTTTTTACTTGCTGCTTGTGTACTTGGTCACGGCTTTCGTTCCTTCGCTGACAGCGTGCTTGGCCAACTCTCCGGGCAAGAGCAGACGAACCGAAGTCTGAATTTCTCGCGATGAGATGGTCGATTTCTTGTTGTAGTGGGCCAAACGAGAAGCTTCACCGGCAATTCGCTCAAAAATATCGTTCACGAACGAGTTCATGATTCCCATAGCCTTGCTGGAGATACCAGTATCGGGGTGGACTTGCTTCAGAACTTTGTAAATATAGA